CACAGCCGCCTCTTATATGTCACGGATGTGACTACGAAAGTTCGCTACCTCGTCGACACTGGCGCAGAAGTTAGCGTTCTTCCAGCAAATCTCGACGACAGACTTTGCGAGTCTGTTTTAAGTTTACAGGCGGCAAACGGAAAGCCGATCTCTACTTACGGTAAAAGGTACGTCTACCTTAACGTGGATTTACGCAAACCCATACACTGGATTTTCGTTGTTGCAGACGTCTCTATGCCAATCATTGGTATAGACCTGTTACAACACCACAATCTACTCATCGACACACGCGCACGAAGGTTAATAGACGGAAACACTAAGTTATCCGTTTGCGTAACTCCTTGTTCTGGTTGCATGTTATCCCTAGTCACGATTAAGCACGCCATAGACCCACTGTACCAATCAGTACTCGACAAATACCGCGGGATATACCAATCGCAATCGAAATTACCTTGTGTAACCAGCAATGTTACACATCACATCTCGACTACAGGACCACCTGTATTTTCGAAAGCCCGAAGACTCGCTCCCGAAAAGCTTAGGTTAGCTAAAAACGAATTCAACCACATGATGGACCTAGGGATAATTCGACCATCGAATAGTCCATGGGCATCCCCATTGCACATGGTCCCTAAAAAGGACAGCAATGATTGGCGGCCAACTGGTGATTATCTGCGTCTGAATGCTAAAACCATTCCCGATCGTTACCCGCTGCCTCAATTTCATGTTTTGACAGCTACCTTGAAAGGTACAACTGTCTTTTCGAAAATCGATTTGGTTAAAGCTTATAACCAAATCCCGATGGCACCTGACGACATTCCTAAAACCGCCATCATCACTCCCTTCGGTCTTTACGAATTTCTACGAATGCCTTTTGGTTTAAGAAATGCGGCTCAAACCTTCCAAAGGTTTATAGACGACGTCTTCCGAGGTCTCAACTTCGTACATGCGCATGTTGATGACTGTCTAATAGCAAGTCCGGACAGAGAATCACATCTCAAGCATCTGGACATTGTTTTCGATCGACTCCAAAGGCATGGCATTACTGTCAACATTCAGAAATGCCAAATCGGAACTAACTGCTTACACTTCTTAGGACACACTATTGATGCCCAAGGCATCCGACCCCTTAGGAGCAAAGTGGCGGCCATTCTGGATTACCCAGAACCGACCACGATCAAGCAGTTACGAACTTTCAACGGACTCGTAAGTTTCTATAGACGGTTCATACCCAAATGCGCATAACTAATGAAACCGTTAACCGATCAGCTCCGTGGAAATGCGAAATCAATTAGTTTAGACGACATAGCCCGTAAAGCATTCTCCACAGTTAAGGAACACATCGCTAAAGCAACCCTGCTTGCTCATCAGGACACTCAAGCGCCCATTAGTATCGCAGTAGACGCATCTGACTCAGCAATCGGAGCAGTCTTACAACAATGGGTTAACAACTCGTGGCAACCTTTAGGATTTTTCTGGAGACTATTGTTAGACGCGGAATCTAGGTACACCACGTTCGGTAGGGAACTCCTAGCTATGTATTGTGCTGTACGGCATTTTCGACATTCCATCGAAGGAAGAGAATTCACGCTTTTTACCGATCACAAACCTCTTACCTTCTCTTTAAATTCATCTTCAGACAAGTACTCACCGCGAGAGTCTCGACAAATCGACTACATTTCGCAGTTTACTTCAGACATACAACATATTTCTGGAGCAAACAATGTAGTCGCAGACGCCTTGTCTCGAATTAGCTCCTTGAACAGTTTCCAAGGAATCGACCTTCTTAAACTCGCTCAGCTTCAAAAAGAAGACATTGATCTTCAGCATGAGTTATCCTCGACAACTCTTAAACTAAGTATTAAGCAGATGGGAACAGGTAAGGAAACCTTACTCTGTGATACATCTACAGGTAGGTATCGTCCAATTGTACTAAAACATTATCGCCGCAACGTCTTCATTACGTTGCACAATCTTTCTCATCCAGGTGCTCGTGCAACAATCGAACTTATAGCCGAACGCTTTTGTTGGCCTGGCATGAATAAAGACGTGAGGGAGTGGGCACGCTCCTGTGTAAGCTGTCACAAATCTAAGGTCATAAGACATAACAAATGTCCTTTAGGCTCTTTCAAAACCCCTGACGCTCGTTTCGACCACGTCCATCTAGATTTGGTAGGACCCTTACCCGACTCGAAAGGATACTCATATCTCCTAACATGCGTAGACCGTTTCACTCGATGGCCAGAAGCAGTACCGATTAAGGACATTACTGCTGAAACCGCGGCCCGCGCTTTCGTCGAACGATGGGTAGCAAATTTCGGCTGCCCTTCCACAATCACTACAGACCGCGGACGCCAGTTCGAATCTGGACTTTTCCGTTGTCTAACCTCACTTTTAGGAATCACGCGCTTCCGAACGACCGCCTACCACCCACAAGCAAATGGGTTGGTAGAACGTTTTCATCGACAACTAAAAGCCTCATTATCAGCTTCAAACGTTTCACAATGGACAGGCGCTCTTCCACTCGTCTTGCTAGGTATCCGCAATGCAGTGAAAGCTGACATTGGATACACGGCATCTCAACTCGTTTACGGAACGACACTCCGACTCCCAGGAGAATTCGTGGATCCTTCAGCTTCTTCATTGAACATGGATCTAAACTCTTACACGAGTAGGCTTACAAACGCTATGCGTTCAGTTAAACCTGCTCACACTCGACCTCAATCAACTGATGTTTTCGTTCAACCCGAATCACGACATAGTACACACGTCTTCGTTCGTCGAGACTCACATCGACGACCCCTCGAATCAGCATACAAAGGACCCTTCAAAGTTCTTCAACGCGAACCTAAGTACTATGTAGTCGATAAGAATGGTGCGAAAGATAGCATCAGTATCGATCGACTCAAAGCTGCGTACCTAGAAGGAAACCCTAGCTACGTCGATTTTCCTTCGGTACAAACAAACGACACAGCTACTACACTCGTAGTACCCTACACGACAACCGACACACACCTTGATTCTTCACCAACGACAGTAGATAAACCTAAAACAACGCATTCTGGAAGACGAGTAAGATTTACAGAACATCTTAACGAATATTGCACGTAGGACATAAGCTTTGCCTTGAATTACCCTTTCATAGTTTATTATAAATTTTTTTTAATATGCTCATTTTTTATTTATATAAAAAAACAAAAAAAACAAAACATTTATTATTTTTTTGAACGTATATATATATATATTTATATATTAAAAAAAACCCAAAAGAAAACCATTTTTTTCCGATCGCTTTTACGCTGTTTGTAAGTGTATTAGTTCATTTTTTCCGCTCATCTTGTGTCCTTACGCAAGTACGAGTGTATTTTCGACATGCACTCACACGTTTTATTTTTCCTGTTTTCCAGAACGGCTGGAAAAGAACGACGAAGTTTCGCAAGGAACCGGAATTTTTCATTGTACTATATTTCTTTATTGCTATGTTGTGCATTTTGGTCCCATAGTTTAAGGAAAGACGACCAGACGCTGCTAAACGAAGCAAGCTATCAGAAGAGTGTTTACCAACGACAAACTCGTTGGGTTTAAACTTCTGACTGGTCACGTCTTAGGGGCATCACTACTTCACTAGTGGGGGAGTGATCTGTAGCTGTAAATAATTCCCCAAAATCAATAGCTCATTAAGTGTTCGACATTGGATACTGACCACGTTGTTTAAGTGGACTTGTTTAGCTGAAGGCTTTCAGTCATACATCCGCACCAGATCACGTTTCAACACGGGGTGGGACACAGCTCCTACGTTTCATTAGCCAGCTTATAGAAAAGGTCCTCGATATATTGGTAACGAATCAAATATATCTTTCCTGCCTCTTCTCATCTGACTTCTGATTTCTATCTGACTGGGAACAATCGAATATAGAAGGTGCTACTGGTAACTAGTTGTAAAACTAGAATATCCGTTGCATCATCAACGTATACAGTTACAAACCAATTTATTTATTTATAAATGGTTACTTAGTACATGAGTGCGTAAAGTGAAGCTGTTATAAGTTTTAGTAATGTCACTTCTCAGCATCGCTTTCATTTACTAGTACATTATTACAAAGTGATCTTTTTGCCTACATTTCTTTGACCCTTTTCTTCCTTTAATTCACCTCACTCCTCTTGTCACTGATTTGAAACACAACATTTGCCCATTGACGTGACAATTACTACTTCCGGTGATTCCAAAGGCTCTGATAAATGCAGTTGGCATCGAAATATTCCAACCTCCAGTAAGTCATATTCAATCAAATTATTGCAAACAGGGGCTGAAGTTATCATATCTAATGTTACGAAACACTTGAAACCGCCCTGTACTCTTAAGACAAGAACACGAAACCATAAACTAGCTTACAATAGTCATTCTCAAATTATCCAGGTAGTTACGAGCCTTCTAACAGAGCATTAACCCTGACCTCTGATTCTGTGCTTTGAATTCTTAGTGAAATTTTTTTCTCCTGATTACCATTAAAAGATTATGTCGTATTCAAAAAGCTGGGGAAATTGTCTTAACTCAAAAGCAGACATGGATAGTGGCTAGCAGTGAAATCCAGCACGCGCGTTTCGTCCTATTCGGAACTCGTCAGCTGAATGTACCTGCATCTCAGGGTTGGTGTAAACTCTGGGACTCATACCCAGTACCTTACGCTTCAAACGACACCACATTATCCATTCAGCTACTGAGTCCTGATAGCCACTTACTTATGCAATGGGGTGAAGTTTAGATTCTCTTGACGTGCGTATTGCCTCAAAATTGCATTAATTCAGAAGTATTAAAAGCAAACTGACGAGTCCCAAATAGGACGAAACGCATGTTCTGGATTTCGCTGTTAGCCACTATCTATTTGTGCTCGTAATGCTTGTGAATTAAGTCTATTTCGAGGCAATAGACACAGTACGCACATGTGCAAATAAGAGACTGATCAATTGCAGTCCTAAATGTTAATAGTAAGTTTCAACCAAACAATACGAAGTGAATTTAATAGTTTTAACTGTTTCAAAATGCAAGGCCATAATGAGGACAGAAATTTGAAATAATGGTTGTGACGTATAATTCGCGAAATCCAGGTTAGTCTTTTTTATTTGTCAGTTTTATGTTCTTAGCTGTCAAACGGTTGATGAAAGAAGCACAAGAACTCTCAAAGCCTACCGAACTATACTTTGCGAGACCTCTAGAGGTTCGACTTTATATTTTCTGATATAATCCTTAGGATAATCTGTTCGAATGGCACTTCACAATTAGAGGTCCTGAAGATTCTGACTTTCAGGGCGGTTTATATCATGGAAGAATTCTTTTTCCTTCAGAATATCCGATGAAGCCTCCAAATATCGTACTGTTAACTGTAAGTATCCTCAAACTATCGTTTACTTCCACGTTTGTTTAAAATACTCTTATCCAAGTAACTCCCAAACTATGTCCATTCTTCTCATTCTATCGTTTCAAGGTTTAGCCGTGCGACCACTAGGTTCACTTTTAGAACCACATGTATGTATATGCTAATTTAATCTCAACGAGTCTATAAGCAGCATATTAATAGACAAAACGCTCTAGTTGTGGCTGCATAAACCTTCAAAGAGTATAGTTGTTGGTCTACACTGTTGTCCAGTTCATTGGTCACTTAGCTTATCTACTGGACTGGCTGAATTCGACCTAAAAAGTCTGTACCACAGTACTGTTAGTTGTAGTACCCATTTTCAGAAGGGCATACTCAATGTACGTCTTAATCATTCTGGTGCAAGTCTGGTACACGTTATCCCCAAACTATTTGGCTTCTTTCACTCTGCGCAAATTATACAAAATCTAAAAGACTGACTCAGAATGTTGTTCGAGTTTTGGTGCAACTGTAGGTTCATTATGTTTTTATTCCCTACCTGTGAGTATGATGATACTATATTTCTCTCAATCCTTTCAAGCCATCTGTATGGTTAATTGTAGATACTCAGTATTAGTACACTACTTTCACTTTGTCTTCAGAAGAATTTTAGCAATAACTTTGGAGAGAGTACCTCTTGTTGACCTAAATTTGTCTCTTGAATAGCCGTAAGCCAAAAATGGCAAATCTAAGGTCTTGGGACTGAGTCATACCGTTAGACATGTTAACGTTTGATAGCACTAGGGTATTTAACACGGATAACCAGTATCTCCAGTGGTTTCATCTCACAAAGTAAAGATACCAAAAGGTAGTCGACCCTAACAGTTTCACACCTCACCTTGTTCCACGAATTTGTAATGTTGGTGATAAGTCTGTAAAAGTATGAAGCTTGCACATCGAAAACTACCTACGAAACCTTTCTGCGATCAGTTTCAAGTGGTTTTACCTTGGACACTGAGATCACACTCCCAGGTTATCAGAACCACTATCAACCAGGTGGTTATGTAACTGGGACCAGTCCATCATTTAAAATATGAAGTTTGACTATTTTCACGACATCCCATGGTAACACGATAAATTAAGTTACCACAATATTATATACACTCAACAGCAAAACCATTTAAATAATGTTGAAGTTCAACAGCTTGTAGTTTGACGTAGTAGGAATCACTCGTCAATCATTCAAATCGTTTGAAAACATCGTCTTCGGTTGCCTAGGAACTTTTCTTGGGTGACTTCTCAGTAGCTCTCATTATCAGGCATTATTTTCTGACGATTCAACTCAATTGGGAAGGTAGAGATACAGTTAATTAGTGGTGTAGCATTGTGACAAATAATTTTGTCTAACCGACATTTTTTAGCCAGAATAACAGCATCGTTTGGATTATAAAGTATATAATTCAATATCCTGGGATGTTGTCAATATAGCTCGTAGTGGAGATTAGTAGCGTCCGTGTTGTAATTTAATTTTGCATTTTTAAAAACTACAAATAGGAAATTTAGGATGAATGCTTATATTTAACCTATTTCCTTTGGTATTATTTTGAATTTCACTCTTTATGTCCTCACATTATTATTTTCTCTCCTCTTACGTTCCTTGATATGTTATTTTATCAAGCATTTTTTGTTACGATAGCATCGCGAAATACTCTAAAATGTAGTCACTTTGTGGTCCACTTAAGTACGTATAAGGTGTTCCTAAATATCTATTAACACACCATTTTTTCTCTTCAGCCAAATGGACGTTTCGAAGTACATCGGAAAATATGTTTAAGTATTTCAGGATATCATCCCGAATCATGGAGACCATCATGGTCTATTCGTACTACATTGTTAGCTCTGATTGGATTCATGCCTACTTGTGGTGTCGGTGCAATTGGCTCACTTAATCAACCAAAAGAAGAACGTCAGTTATTGGCTCGCAAGTGTGTAATGTTCTTTTGCTTATTCGTCAAGTGGATCTTACTTACATTTATTATTGTGTGTAGGATAATTTGCATTGGTTGCTTGCCTCATCTAATATTAATGATCTCAAGCATTTGTCTTTTGGGCTATGCACTCATGTCCTTAGCTTAACAAATCTGTCACTCCTAATGCAATTTCTCCTTCATGTCGCTTACGAAAAAATATTACATGATGTAGAGTGGAGCAGTATTTCAGGTGTTTGAATACCAACGAACAAGTCGTGGGTCCAAACCCTAATCCACCTACTTCTGTTTGAGCAGAGAAGTAGTATCACTAATCCTCGCATTTAAGGTCAAGTACACTGGACTGTACGTAGCGAATCAGTCTAGAAATATATAGAGTAGCCAACAGGGTGATGTCAACTGCCTATAAACTGCATAGCGGCACTCCAGTTAATGTACTGTCCGAAATAAAATCTCCAATTATTTAACAGTTATGAATAGAAATGGATAGTGGCTAGTAGTGGAATCCAGCACGCGCATTCCGGAGCGAACATCGACTCTAGGATGCAGGTAGATCCGACTGACAATTTCCAAATAGGACGAAACGCGCGTCCTGGACTCCACTGCTGGCCACCACCCGTCTCTGCTTTGAATGCTTGTGACTTCGGGAAATATCAAGGTAATTCGCACAGGATGCTTATATGCCAATAAGAGACCAATCAATTGTAATCCTAAACATTAATGGAAAGATTCAAACAGCTAATACAAAAATGAGTTATAATTAGGTTTGGAATATTTTGTAGATTCCAGTGTTTTTTACTTACAAACGTAGGAGAATTACAAGACCATTAATGCTGTCGTTTATTAAAAACTCACACTTCCTAGTCAATGTCAATATAAACCTCAAGTGTGTTAATAATTTATTTTCAATTTAGGCAAGTTCATCATAACCTGAAGGCGAATCTCTTCAGCAATTTATAACAAAATAATGGATCATCTTTAAGATTTTAAATCCTGTTCTAGGTTGGTGCTTTTCTGGAAAACACGAGTTTTTTTAAAGGAACTTGATATGTAGCTGTTTATAGAGGTAGTTACCGAAGCATGTTGTTTTTGACTGAGACCCATGAACTGTAGAAATATGAAAGTAGTTAACAAAATCCATAATAAAAAGGAAATCTATCCATAAAATCATTCTTTATTAGACATTAAAATGTAAAAGTTGTTGCTCTGATCTAACTGAATTGTATAATCACATGTAGATATTTAATATCGTTGTCAGAGAAATTCTTCAGTACTATAAACCTGTCATTCGAATTTGTATAACTTTGCTAAACCGTCGTCTAAAAACATAATGTTTAATGTTCTTTACCACTGTTTCTAATCCGTGATCGTAAGGAATATTGATTTGTAGCTAACGTCCATTGAATTCAATGAGTAGAGAGTCTTCTAGGCCATACCAGTATATTTCGTGGATATAGGTCAGCAACAGTTGTTATTGTTGATTTCTAGGGAAGCAATCGCTTTGATGTCTCATAATATATGCTCTGAATATTAATTTGTCAGTAAAAGAAACTCAAATAATATTAGTAGGCACTATTAGCTTTGTGGTTGAAACAGTCGATTTTCAACCACTGAATTATAGGTCGAGATTTTCTCCCTTATTTACTTTGAGCAACCAGTTGGAGCTTTACTAACTGATGCAAAAAATGTAGTACTTTTTAGTTGCAGCCTTCCAAAATTCACTAACCGTTGAAGGGCTTATGTCACTCCGGTTGTCCCAGGATGGTGAGTAAATGAAGAGGAGTTAGACCATTATTTGAAATGTCCCAGTTCATATCAATACACAATTCAGGTGCATTATAAATTTGGTACCATCCAAAGTGACTTTATCATGATCATGAAGCGGATCTCTGTAGATATCTATCTTTATCAATTTACTTTGGGAAGCCAAATAGTTTCACTAACTCACACGCAAAACCTGTGACTCTAATCAGAGTGGATAAAGCTGTACTTTATGATTGAATTGTATAAAAATCGAGCTGATATATGTCAAACATTGTAGTGTTTTATCATTTTGTGACATATTTAGCTGAATATTCTAATTACATCACATTCAGGTTTCATGAAGCTGTGTAAAGCCTTTGTTACGATCCACGACGTTATGTTCAAATATATACGCTTTCTATACTCCTGTCAAACCAGTAATATGAGTGAGAAAACTGACGAATGATTCAGAAACTGTAATTGACAAATCATTGGTTTACGTACGTTTGTACTTCCGACCTAGACAATGACATGTGGATAGAAACCTTAAGCAGGTGTATAAACGACTTCCCCTAATAGCGTGTCTTGTTTTTGATTTCTCACTTGCTGTTCGACCGTGAGATAACATGTTAGCACAGACACTTGGTGTGCCTAAAATTCCTCAGGCTATCAGCATCGGCTAAGCAATCACAACACTCAATCTTTAACCATTTGGCTCAAGTTTAAAACCCACTCCACTTCATTTTATCTTGTCCAAAAGAGTAGTAACATTGTGGCTGTCATATTGAAAAGCGTTTAACTCTGTTGGGGAAATACTTGAACCTCTATTCAGTAAACAAATAAATTACTCACAGTTTTGTAACATCTCGTATTAATTGATATTATGATAGTTGTCTTTCTTCCTGTATTATATCCTTATATACAATCTTTCTTTTATATATTACCACCACTAAATTAACTACTTCTACGAATTCGGTGTTTATCTTGTTGTGCTAGCGATGTATGGCAACTTGGACCGATGCATTGTGTGCCTGGTCCTACGTTGCAGCTGACTGACTATTATTTTACTTCGCTTAATTTTACTCCAGATCACAGAGTTACGTTTGCAGCATATGTGGACCAACTAACAATTTACTTCTACCCTTAACTACCGCTTCATCATCAATGAATGAAGAAGCCAATGAAGCTGCTGCTCAAATATCTATGATGGTAATTTGTTGTTTTTTCATCCATTTGTTTTTGTTATGACGGGACAAACATTTTTATTATTATTATTATTTATTTAAACACATATATATTGGTACAAAAGGGCACCAGGTACATATGCGCCACACAAAATAATGAAAGTATGAAGAGAAGGGATGAAAAGATAAGGCGGACTAAAATGTACAACCAGAAGACTCTTTCAAATAGGAAAGTAAGAACCATACTTTATGTAGAAAGTAAAAGAAGGTTGCAGCATGATCGCCACTGGTTTCTATTCTGAGCCATATCTGATAACGTCTCTAGCCACTGTGTTGCACCATCTCTCGGACCCCAACCAAGGAGTCGTGAAGGACCAACAGAAGCTAGCCCTTTGCAGCTCTCTTTCATGCCACGACACCATGTCATACACTGACCTCCTCTCCGCTTTTTCCAACCAGTCCCAGGGTCGGCAAATAATGCACGACGTGGAAGTCTCTGGGACGACATTCGTAAAACATGTCCAAGCCACCGAAGTCGGTGTTTCAAGATGGTGACACCAATTGAATTATCGTCTCTGTGCCCGAACACACGATGCCGAACCTCTGCATTACTAACATGGTGTTGCCACTGGATGTCAGCAATCCTTCGGAGACAACGATGATCGAACACAGAGAGACGCCTAACATCCTCAACTCGGAGAGGCCAGGTTTTACAAGCATAGAGCAAAACTGCTCTCACCGACGCGTTGTAAATCCGACTTTTTACAGCCAGACTAACATCACGAAGGCGCCAAAGATGGCCCAGATTGGCATAAGCCGATCTGGCTTTCCTTATACGTGCATCAATCTCATCACTCACGCAACCACCAGCACTTATATAGCTACCTAGATACACGAACTTCTCAACTACTTCGATCTGCTCACCATCCAGGTCAGTCAGTCAGTCAGCTACAACGTAGGACCAGGCACATATATGCATCGGTCCAAGTTGCCATATCTCGTTAGCACAACAAGATAAACACCGGATTCATAGAAGCAATTAATTTAGTGGTGGTAGTATATAAAGAAAGATTGTATAGAAAGATATAGTACAGGAAGGAAGAGAGATATGAAGCAATTTTAATCTCAAGGTTTAAGGGAAGATAAAGAGTGTATACACCTACGCCATTGTGATCGATTCTGAGCCATGTCACCTAGAGTCTCCAACCATTTATTACGATAGTCACGCGGACCCCAACCAGGTAGTCTGCATCTGCCAACATGGCTCAGGCTAGAAGTTAGTGACTTCAAACACTGATGCCATGTTTTGGTTTGGCCGCCCCTAACTCTCTTCCAACCGTCCCTAATACTAGTCATCATAGCGCGTCGTGGTAATCGGTGTTCAGGCATACGTAACACATGGCCCAACCATCTCAGTCGATGAAGATTTATCACCTCATCAACTGATTTACCATCGTTACCTAATACCCTGCGTCTAACCTCACTATTACTTACTCGGTGATCCCAGTAGATGCGAGCAATATTTCTAAGGCATCTGTGGTCAAATACTAGTAACCTACGAGTATCTTCTACTCTTAATGGCCATGTTTCACAGCCGTAAAGTAGAACAGAACGAACTGCTGCGCAGTATACTCGTCCCTTAATTGATAGACGGATATCTCGTCTTCGCCATAGGTGACGTAAGTTGGCAAAAGCCAAACGAGCTTTTTGAATCCGTGCTGAGATTTCGTCAGACACCAACCCATTAGGGCTGATCAGACTTCCAAGATAAGTGAAGTTGTCAACGCGTTCGACTACTTCACTCCCTATCCTTAGTTCGAGTGTTGACGCAGGCCAGTCCTGGAGTAACAATTTACATTTGGATGGGGAGAAACGCATCCCAAACATCCTGGCATTATTACTCAGTTCCAACAGAAGACTCTGCATTTTGTCAGCGTCTTCACCAAACAGGACTATGTCATCTGCGTATTCTAAGTCGCTTAGTGGTCCCCCTGGTAGGAGATCAATTCCTGTAAACTCAGTCGACGAGAGTGTTATTTCCAGCAACAGGTCTATAATGAAGTTAAACAAAAATGGGGATAGTGGACAGCCTTGACGGACACCACTTGAGGTTGTAAAATCATATGACAGTTCGCCATAAGCTCTCACTCGACTGATAGTGTTCGAGTAAAGAGCCTTCACAAGGTTTATGTACTTCTCAGGTACACCTTTCAATGACAGACACTGCCACAGAACCTCTCGGTCTATAGAGTCAAATGCTGCTTTCAAGTCAAGAAAAACTATCATTGTCGGACGCCGATAAGCATGTCTGTGTTCTAAAACTTGACGAATGGTGAATATGTGGTCGATACAGCCACGACCAGGTCTGAAGCCAGCCTGATTTTCTCGTGTTTGCAGTTCACGAGTCTTAGTTAGGCGCCTGATAATTATTGAGGCTAGTATTTTAGATACTATGTTAGTCAGACTAATCCCTCTATGGTTATCGCAGGATGATTTTGACCCCTTTTTATATATTGGGACAATCAGTGATTGTGACCAGTCGGATGGGATTACATCCGTCTCCCAGATTTTAGCCAGAATATTAGTCAACCTAATCGCTAAAATTGGACCACCATATTTAAAGACCTCTGGAGCCAATCCATCAGGACCAGCTGCTCTTCCTCGTTTCAGATTACCTATAGCCTTTTGAACTTCAAGTAGGGTCGGGGGGCCTACTTCAATGTTCCATTCAGGTTTTCTAGGAATAGTGGGTAGTTGTGCAGTAGCTGAAGGCCAGCTAAACTGCTCCTTAAAGTGTTCCGCCCATCGTTCTAAACGTTTGGGTAGAGAGCAGATAAGGGTTCCATCTTTTTCCGAGATCGTCTCACTTACACTTGACTTCTTAATTCCAGTTTCTTTTATTAGTCTGAATAGTTGCCTGGTGTTGCCTACAGCCGCTGCCTTTTCCATCTCTTTTGCTTTCGTTGCCCACCACTGCTCACGATCGTTCCTTAGACTTTTAGTTAACCTAGATCTAATTTGTTTACGCTCTTCGTCATGTTCAGAGCCTGATGGGATGAGTTTACGCGAATCCATCAGTGAAATAGACCTAGAAGAAATCCACTGGTTTTTTGGAGCCCTATGGTTTAAATGACTAATAGATGTTACTGCTGTTTCCACAGCTGTTCGTATGCCTTTCCAAGCAGCATCTGGGTCAGTCTCGTTTACAGAACTGCCTAGATGTGAACTCAGTTGTCTCTGGAATTCACATTTGGCTTTCTCGTCCTCCAGTTCAATCCTAACGGGTCTTCTTAGTTTACTTTTCCTGCGTCCATTGAGGCGCAGACAAATGCGTGCTCGTACTAAAGCGTGATCAGAGTCTAAACAAGTATTCCAATACGAGCGACAATCTTCTATTGAGCCTCTCCAACGATGACTGATGACAATATGGTCTATTTGAGTCCATCGTTGGTTTGGTGCAGGTGGTCGCCATGTTAGACGATGTCTCTCCTTATGTTTAAAATTAGTGCTTGCCAAAAATAAACGATTGTCTGAGCATAGTTGCAACAGACGATCACCATTATCGGTTCGTTGAGCCGGAATACTAAAACACCCACCTAGATGTCTTTCTGTTTGATTTAAGCTGCCTACCTGGGCATTAAAGTCACCCGCTACGACTACTATGTCTGAGCGCTTAGCTTTCTGAAGAAGCTCAGAGAGCTTTCTGTAAAAGTCATCTTTCACCTCATCATGGCTGCAGTCAGTGGGAGCGTAGGCAGAAACGACGAAAAGACAACGACGTGTGTCCCTATCCTTCCGAGTTCTTACGGAGCCATTTAGCCGGACAGCACACAGGCGACTGTTAACGGGGATCCATTCTAATAGTGCCTGTTCTGCCCTTGTACTTAATGCTATACCTACACCTGCAAGTCCACGAGAACTAGCCAACGGGTCGCCAGATACACGGAGGGTGTATTTCGTTGGCTGTCCATTTTGGCGAGGTGAGGTCAAGTGAATGACCACACTAGGATCCTGTATGCGTGTTTCGGAGACACAGCATACATCAATGGTACGCGACTCTAAGGTTTTAGCTAAGGAGGCCTGTTGACCGATTTGACTTAAAGTACGTACGTTGAAGGCTCCAATGTGTAGTTTGGAGCGAGGTTTTAGTAGACCTGGGACAGCGTTTCGCGCACTAGAATCGTTGGCCATGGTGACACTTGAGGAGGAAACCGAGAGAGGAAGTTTAGTGTTGAAAGTCAAGGTAGTAGGAATTGAAGAAGGAGATTGATTATGAATACAGTGGTCTTGAGTGTTGTTAGAGGTATGAGGGCAGTTGTCACTTCCCGGTTGCCCACACCGTGGAAGGATTCTTCTAGAGGTACCTGAAAAGGAAATTGGGTTAGAAGTGGTCTTAATGACCGGAGAGCGTGACCGCAGTGCCCAAGGGACAGCTGCTTGAGGTCGGTCACACACGACCTTTTTCTGGGTAGTTTTTGTGTTAGCTCCGTTCTTCAAAAAAAACCTTACCGCCGGAGACGGATATCCGTGGGATAAGGCGAGGTGTGCATTTTTAGGGTCGACCTTTTCTAACCCCACCCCTCCTTGTGGGAAGGCAGCATCGCTGTCATGCTGGTTGTCTGAAGGAAACACCTTACTGCTTTCACACCTCTGTACAGTCAGCAGTACGACTTCGCCTTCGGACCTTGGGTTTGCTGCTTTTAGTCTCACCGCTCTTCAATCGACCTGTCTGGCATGGTAGGACCTCGAGGAACGATTGTTCCAGCCAGCATAGCTCGATTGGATCATCACGATAGGCAAGCCCGACCACCACGTCAAGGTAGCAGCAACCATCCAGGGTGAGTACAGGATTAGAATCCTGCCAGTCTTGTAGGAGTACTTTGCACTTGGAGGGTGCAAAGCACATGCCGTACCTGCGGACACTGATTGCCAACTGATTAAGTGCTGATTGCATGCCTTGGGTATTATCGCACAGTAAGACAATATCATCCGCATACTCAAGGTCGAGAAGTCGTTCTCCAGGCAACATATCCACACCGCCATTACTTACATCCACCAGAGCTGTTTCTAGGATGTCGTCGATGGCAAAGTTGAAGAGGAATGGTGAGATCGGGCAACCCTGCCTAACCCCACTGCTCGAATGGAACAAGGGAGAAAGGTGGTTGTATGCCCTCACTCTGCCTGAGTTGTTCGTGTACAGGGCCGGAGGTAAGTCATCTGGGCCAGGTGATTTGTAGCGCTTCAAGAGTTGGAGTTCCTTGCGGACTTCCGCCTCGTTTGGTGGATCAGTCGTCACCGGCCATGGGGGGCAGGACAAGCTGGTTGATGTTGCCGGAGCAGCAGGCCAGTTGAACTGCCCTTCGAAAAATTCCGCCCATCGTCCAAGACGTCGGGAGATGTTAGTGATTGGCATCCCATCATCCTCGTAGATTGTTTCACTCACACCAGACTTCTTGCTGCCAGTGGCTCGGATGAGTTGGAAGAGCTTCCGGCAGTTACCAGATGCAGCTGCTGCTTCCATCTCATTAGCACGCTCCGACCACCAGGCTTCCCGGTCCTTACGCAAGCTTTGCCCAATTTCATTACGTAACAGCCTTCGTTTGTGGTCAAACTCACGGTCACCCGGAGTAGACCGACGGGCTTCCATCAGTTGTAAGGAGCCAGAAGAAACCCAGTGCTTGTAAGCGGGACGTTTCGCGAAGCCGCAAGCGGCTTTACTCGCCATTTTCATGGCGTCGTGAAGATGCAACCAATGCTCATCTATACTTTTCGGTGGGGTGTTAGCTAGCCTAGAGGCTAGCTCAGCTCGGTACTTACTTGCAACAGGAGTTGCAGCCAGTTTACTAATATCAATCCGTTGGTGGTGGTCAATCCTTCGGCCACTGAAAAGTAAGGTGAGATTGGCGCAGACCAGGGCATGATCAGACTCCAGATAGGTACTCCAAAAGGAGCGGCAGTCTTGTACACAACCACGCCAGCGGTAGCTGATCGCGATGTGATCAATCTGAGTCCAGGCTTGGGATGCAGAGGGAGGACGCCAGGTGGCACACCGGCGATGACTGTGCCGGAAGTTAGTGCTGGCCAGAAACAGGTTGTGGTCTGTGCACAGTTGCAGCAAACGGTCCCCGTTATCTGTCCGGCGACCAACAAGTCCCCATCGGCCACCTAGACGACTCTCTTCTGTGCCTAGACGCCCGACCTGTGCATTCAAGTCTCCGGCTAGTACTACAATATCTGTCGAACGCGCTTTCTGGAGAAGAACTGTTAACTGATGGTAAAACTCATCCTTGATTGCATCCGGGCTGCAATCTGTCGGGGCATAGGCTGAGATGACGAAAAGACACCGTTTCTCACGCCGGTTTCTTCTCAATTTGATGGAACTTTCTAATCTAACAGCACATAACCGACTGTTAATGGGGAACCAATCGATTAGTGCTGCCTCAGCCCTAGCGCTTAGTGCGACACCAACGCCAGCAAGACCAGACGAAGATGCCACAGGGTCCCCGGATAAGCGCACGTGGAACAAGCTTTTCGAGACAGATGGAGAGCGGATTTGTAGTACTTCACTAGAGTCTTGAATACGGGTCTCGGATAGACAGCAAACATCAACATTAAGACCTTCCAAAGACATAGCCAGCCCTATCTGTTGTCTGATCTGCATTAGTGTGCGAACGTTGAAGGAAGCCAGCTTGAACGGCGTACGCGATTTCAGAAAGACTGCCTCAGTATTCATTATCGGTGGAAGCATTCACTTTCAACCAGACAGTGACTGGAGATCGTTTAGATAGGACAGATTTTCCACCAAGAGCGAGCTGATGCATCAGTTGAAGAGTAAGGTTACACAAATTGGGGGTAAAAGGGGGTGAATTAGCGATATGGTAAGTAATAATAATAATAGTAATAATAATAATAATAATAATGATAATAATAACGTAAATTGTCTTGCTTATAATATGAGCAGGAATAGAATCGTCAATAGAGTTCGTCATTTCATTCATTTGTGTGTGGGCTGTGATACTGCCCGGGTGCCCAAACCGAAGCAGGTGGTTTTCTTAGGGGGCCACACCCGGAGCCTTTGACCTAAAGGTCTGATCCACAAGGCAGTGGAGCATCGTGAGGAGATGCAGTCCCATGGTAGTCGTTGACCAATGATAGGTTCTTCCGCCATTCGTTCCATCAGGAAACTGGAGCCCATGTGCACCATTGGTTTGGAATGAGGGTTTTCCAACTCCCCTAGGTGGACCCTCCGTGTCCACCAATCCGGTTATAGCGCCGGACATTCGCTTTTCGTCCTCTCACTTTCGTAAACAACACCCCCGCCACGAGAAGGCAGTGAGTAGGACTTCCCTGGCGGAGGCTATATATTCGCTGGCCATGTGAGAGCATTTCGAGAGGGAGAGTAGACTCTCCCCACTCTCGGCTGTACCAGGGCATTTGGGGGCAGTGAATATTATATAATATTCACTGGACAAACATTAGAAATGATGAAACTTTTGAAACTGTTTTTTAAGTTGTTGTTATGCATATTTTTGTTGCATAATTTCCATAGTCATCCATTTGTTTCACCTACAAAAGGTACACCCTCAAAGCATCGATTGTGTAGTTTGAGACCAACGAGTAAGCACTAGTTGGGGTTAGAGATAAGTCAATAGGCAAAGATAGAAAATCGATTGATGAGGTAGTAAGTCTTTACCAGCTAAGGTAGTTGGGACATGTGTCACGTATACCCAATTATCGCCCACCTCGATGACCGATGTTGCCGTGTGTAGGAGTAGATTGTAAGAAGCTAGGGACAGCCAGACCAAGACGTGGCGTCGGTCTATGGAGTCACTAACAACTGGACTAAGTCACATTAACAGGTGTAGACCACATGGTTGATGTCAGCAATCGCTCCTTTGAGTGTGGTTTTTTCGAGGTTAGCCACGAAAATATCTGCTAGGACAGGACCTAACGGACTTCCCATTGCTACACCATTTGTTTGTCGGTATATGATATTGTTGAACTGGAACTGAACATCTTTTTTACACATTATTAGCAGTCGTTTGAATTCTGATGTTGGTAGAGGTGGGATGTCATAATGCTGGCAAATTATGTTTATGGTTTCAAGAAGTATTTTTGTAAACAATGATGTCTCATCAAAGAAAACCATAAACTTACAAGCAATATTTATGTGGTTCACGCTATCAGCAAGTTCAAATGAATCTTATAATGTATAAGTGGCTAATCGTTGACGAATTGGTTCTAACTTATCCACTAACCACCTTGGAACTTTGCGGTAGGGTGTAGTTATTAACTTTTGACATGAACCATCGTCTTAGGTGTATACTTTCTGGTTGAAATAAATGCGATTAGTATGACAAGTGGTTAGATGCGTCAGATGAATAATATTCACTAATTAGCTTAATCTCCATAAAACCCTTTCGAGTAGTTGTTTAGGGAGGAAAACGAATTTTTTAGATTTCTCTTAAACTCTGCTCATCAGGATCAGTGTAACTTTTCGGATTGTATAATTGGGTATTATGTACATCAGTCAGTCACAACGTAGAAATTCGTACGTACATACATCAGTTCGAGTTGCTATACCACATTAACACAGAGATACAGTTGTCGATTCAAATCCCCTAGTGGTAGAAGCAGTAATCCGAAAAACTAGGGTTTCAAGATGTAATTCAATGAGTATAATCCAGTGAAGTAAATTTGGAAAGAGAAAATAATAGAGACATAAAGTATTCAGAAGATTAGAATTCGAGACAACACAAAGAATGGATGCACCGTCTCCATTACAAAAGATTTTGAATCACGTCATTCAAGGTCTCTAACCATCAACTGCTATCATCTAGAGGATCCCAACCACGTAGTCTACACCTACCAACATGGCTTAACCCACTTGTCAGTCACTTCATAGATTTGAGTCACGTTTTGGTCTGGCCGCCCATAGCTTTCTTCCAACCTACTTCTACACCATAAAACATCGCACGTCGGGGCAGTCGGTGGTTGGGCGTACATAACACGTATCCCGGCCATCTCAATTGATGAAGTTTCACTACTTCATCAATCGATTTACCATCCTTACCTAGTACCCGTTTCCTAACAACTGCATTACTTACTCGATGATCCCAAGATATACGAGCAATGCTTCGAAGACACCTATGATCGAATACTAGTAGCCTACGAATATCCTCTACTCTTACCGGCCATGTTTCACTTTATGGCAGTGAAACATGTCCGATTTTCATAACAACTAATTTTTTTTAGAAATAAGGTAATTATGAGTGGATTTCTAAGTAGACTATTCGTATTCAATATGATGAAAAGATTTGTTGCTCGAATGAATGCTTTTAATGTCGAGTTTATTCGGTTAAGTGGTTTAATTGCAGAGCTTTTATTGTCGTTTTAGAAAACATTGTCATCGCTTACTTTATGGCGAATATTTCACAAATCTAAATCAAGAAGTATGAATATATATATATATATATATATATATATATATATATATATATATCGATAAAGGTTACTTCGACAACATCTAGGGATTTTATGGTTTAATGTCACTTTGTCATTTGGTTAATTCCAGCTTCATTTCATGCTAGTTAGTTAGTTAGTTAGTTAACATCACTTGTCCGATACTCAGTTGGATATATTAAGTCTTCTTATCATTCTCTTAAACTGTCAAGTATAATAGTTCCCCATTCTCTTATTACAAATTTAAACTGTAGTCAGTAAAAAGAATGAATTTGATCAGTTCACTTTTTATTAATGAACATTCTTTCTTTTTCTTTTCCTTGGTTCCATTTTTTAGAGTGAGGAAGAATTTAGAAATAAAAAAGCATTGGCTAATTCAAACACTTTTCCTCCTCCTCCTCCTACTACTACTACTACTATTGCTAACAATAATGATCATCAAACAGATTCTATCTCCGGCATTACATCACAATCGAACTTATCATCTGGGAATTTAATCAATCCATCATCAACACCGTCTACTTCTATACATACTACTCCATTTTCAATGCCTTCTTTGTCTTCTCCCATTCAAAGCAATACTACAAACATTACTGAAAATATGAACTCACATTTATGGACTGGATTTCCATCATATGTGTATCCTTATCGAAATGAAAATATAACACCACAAATTGCATATTGGTTATGTTTTCCAGTATATTACCCTGTACCACCATTTCCTATGAATGCAAACTCATCATCGTCATTAGCGACTGCAGTTAGTTCGACGATTGATAGTGGTACAGCCAGTGGGGAACGTATACCTTTAAGTTTTGGTGAATGGTTAAAAGGAATTCGAGAAGTGAGTTGAGTTGATGCTGTGTAACTGATCAGTTTTATCTCCTGATTATTAGTTTTATACTTTACATCACAAACTGACCTTAGTTCGGTAACCATTGAATGCTAAACAACTGTTTGATCTTAGCACGGGAAACTTAAGCGTTGTATATCCATGACCCCACCTGGAATCGGACGCAGAACCATCAAGTCTCGTGACAAGTGCCTAATCTGCAGAAAATTGCATGAGCATTCAGTGTTCGACATATTTAATTTCTCTCAGTCAGTCTCCAATACTGGTGATGGGTAACTACCTTACAGCTGACATGGGTGAACTCCACCGCTCACTGCTTCTCACTAGAATTCCGCGAATTACCTCTCGAAATTAGTCACTAGTAAACACATAATTATTCTCAGTGTAATAGCTGTATGGGAATAGTTGTAAATTATGGAACTCCACAAGCTTCATACAAAAATGAACTTATCAGTTGTGATCAATATTTATAAAAGGAATTTATATATGTAACAATCCCAACGATGCTCATATCTAACTTACGAACGAAAAGTTAGAATTATTTCTAATTTCTATCCCTAAAATGTTTATGAGTATAATCCCTTTCTTGCTTCATTCGCAAATGCCGTGGTACGGGCGAGGGTTTTGGAGAGTCCACTCTTCCTCTCTAAATGCCCTCACATGATGATGCGTATACAGCTACTGGTGAGGAAGTCCTACTCACTGCCTTCTCGTGGCCGGAGTGTTGTTTACGGAGTTAAGAGGACAAAAAACGAATGTCTGGCGCTGTAATCGGGTTGGTGGACACGGACGATCCGGGTACCCGTGCAATATCACAGCCCACACACAAATCAAATGACTTTGGTGGCGCATATGCATTCGGTGCCCCTTTGTACCAGTATTTATGTGTTCAAATAAATAAATAAATAAAAGTTCATTGATTAAAAAAGTCGTATTAACCATTACAGCAAGCTGATTGCAAATAATGGATACAAAAGGGATTCTAAGTTGAGATTTATCACTGTTTGTTATTATTCGTCATACCATTTGCATTTCAAGTGTATTGTATCATGGAATGTATAAAAATCTTTTAACTTGTATTAAAAACAGTTGACGCTAGTCAGCGAAGCGTACTTGAAGTTTTTAGTAACTGACGCTGTGTATAGAACTAGAGTTTGCACTGTCCAGTCACACATACGCCGACAACATAATTGTATTTGGTGAAGACGCTGACAAAATGCAGAGTCTTCTGACCACTATATGCAACAATGCAGGCATGTTCGGGATGCGATTCTCCCCCTCGAATTGAAAAATGTTACTTCAGTATTGGGTTGCATCGGCACCTGAACTAATGATAGGGAGTAAAGTATTTGAGCGTGTTGACCGCTTCACTTATCTTGGGGGTCTCATCAGCCCTTTTGATCTGGTGTTTGACGAAGTTTCAGCACGGATACAGAAGGCTCGTCTGGCTTTTGCCAACTTGTGTCGTTTATGGCGTAGGCGAGATATCCGTCTAGCAACAATAGGACGGATTTACTGTGCAGCAGTTCGTTCCGTCCTACTTTATGGCTGTGAAACATGGCCGGTAAGAGTAGAGGATATTCGTAGGCTACTAGTATTCGATCATAGGTGTCTTCGAAGCATTGCTCGTATATCTTGGGATCATCGAGTAAGTAATGCAGTTGTTAGGAAACGGGTACTAGGTAAGGATGGTAAATCGATTGATGAAGTAGTGAAACTTCATCAGTTGAGATGGCTGGGACACGTGTTACATATGCTCAACTACCGACTGCACCGACGTGCGATGTTTTATAGTGTAGAAGTAGATTGGAAGAAAGCTAGTGGCGGCCAGACCAAAACGTGGCACAAATTCATGAAGCCACTGACAAGTGGAATGAGCCATGTTGTTAGGTGTAGACTACGTGGTTGGGATCCTCTAGATGATAGCAGTTGATGGTTAGAGACCTTGAATGACGTGATTCAAAATCTTTTGTAATGGAGACGGTGCATCCATTCTTTGTGTTGTCTCGAATTCTAATCTTCTGAATACTTTATGTCTCTATTATTTTCTCTTTCCAAATTTACTTCACTGGATTATACTCATTGAATTACATCTTGAAACCCTAGTTTTTCGGATTACTGCTTCTACCACTAGGGGATTTGAATCGACAACTGTATCTCTGTGTTAATGTGGTATAGCAACTCGAACTGATGTATGTACGTACGAATTTCTACGTTATGACTGACTGACTGATACAATCTAAGACGTCGCTACTGTGTTATTCGTACCTTAAGTGATTTCTTATTGGGATAAAATACCTAGATTGACTAATTACTGTCTACTTTTTATCTAGTTATCAAGTTTTATTGATTAGATTACAAAATGTTACTTAACCTTTAAACTGAGGAGTGGGGGGGGGGCTCCATCTAATCTTTTTTTTAAATAATAATATTCTATGTAATTACTGAGACAAATAATCTGTATCTGATAAAAAATATAAAATTTGTATCCAAGTCACGTGAATTGATTAAAGAAATATATAGATAAATGAATTCAGGGATCAATATTTCCATAGAAACTATTAAATGTATATACTACTTGATTTAAAATGTATTAATTAAGTAATTAATTAGATCATTTTCATTGTTAAGTGTGGATAGATAGATAGATAGATAATGTTTCAGTTCAATGCAAATTTTAATGGTAATGATGTATTACATATGAAAGTGAAGATAGATAAAGAACAATATGATTTGTCATTAATATCAGTAAGTTATTGTTAGTTGTTGTTATAATTACTCTTACTTACATACTTACGCCTGTTACTCCCAATGGAAAATAGGACGCCAACCAGCATTCTTCAACCCACTCTGCCCTGAGTCTTCCGTTCTAGTTCTTTTTCCAGTTCTATCCAGTTTTTGTTCATTCTTCTCATGTCTGTCTACATTTCTCGCCGTAATGTGTTCTTTCGTCTTCCTCTTCTCCTTCGACCTTTAGGATTACATGTGAGGGCTTGTGTTGTGATGCAGTTGGGTGATTTCCTCAACGTGTGTCCTATTCACTTCACTCTTCTTACGACCCCAACTGTTCCTATTGCTTAGAAAAAGCGATCAATTTAGGAATAATTGTTTTACTATGATTGTGATATATCCAAATGTGATACGTATGGGACGAAACACTTTTCTAATTCGTTTATGATAATTTTGGTTGGTTGATGTAAAATATTGACTAGAATGACTGTCACATATACACAAGTATTGTCTTCTTTGGTGTATGAAAAGATATTGGGATTGAAAATCGACAACACGATAAAGAGTGAATACATATGTTTTATTGTGACTGATTATGAAGCTATGTTACTCAACATCTCCAACTACTAATGGCGATAAACGCATCGACTAGTCTGCAACTTCCGTTATGGCTCAGACCAACAGTCAACGGTTTCATGGATTGAATACATCGTTTTTTGGCTATTGCTAAATGTCCCCCACAAATCCGCTCCTGTACTCGCAGACACCCGACTTCGAAGTAGGTGGTAGTTAGGTTTATGTAATAGACGTTCCGACTACCTCATTCGGTGAAGATATACTTCCTCACAAACCGATTCGCCACCTTTGCAAAGTGGGCCGTGCTTGACCTCAACATTATTCAGTTGGTCGTTCCAAAAGACCCGAGAAATACTTTAAAGATCCCTATGATCAAAAATATGTAACCTGCTCGTGTTTCCTACTTTCATAGACTATGATTGAAAGCCATAAAGTAGAACAGAGCAGACTGCCGCTTTGTAATACATGGAAAGAGAAGCAATAAGAGGTATTTCTTTCCAATTCGTTTTGAATCATGACTGAAAAGCGCTTATAAAAGTAATTACAAATGATTAAAAGGCTGGGCAAATAAATCGATTCCTCTCGAAGAATATTGCCTATCCATATTATTTTCCACCATGATTGATGCTGTTACTACTACTCTGAATCTTGTCTTGTTGTAGTGATGTGGTGTGGCAACTTTAATCGATGCATATATATGTCCCAGATCCTAACGTTACATATATCTAAATAACTTGGAAGATGCATGAATCGGGGTGCGTCGTTGTAGAATATATCGATTCCATAATGTGATGTTAATAGCAGATACGCAAGAAGAAAAAGAAGGATGGGAAACTTCTGGCGAAAAGAAATACATTGACAGAAAAGAGGGTATAACTTCATTCGGTACCTATTCTAGTGTTGTCTATTTTAAAAGGTAGGGTGAAGAGAACAGTCGTACAAAGTTTTTATGAATACATAAGCCAGATTTGCTAATGCAGATGAATGCTGACGGTTTTCGGCTATGTGTATTCATTACTCATTAACTTGATTTGTTTTTCGGTTTTTAGAAAGAAAAATCTGCGAGTACTTCTGTTCATGACACAGTGTCTTCCTCTCCCTCTTCTACCACCAATACTGATGCTACTCAAGTTACTCATGTGTCACACAGCAATGAGAACACCAAGCCAACAACTTCAAAGACATTAACAGCGGCCAACGAAAGCAAGCAGGTTGTTGATTCATCTGAAAATCAAGTTCATGCAATGGGTAGAACGATTTCTGCACAAAACAAAAATGAATCGAGATCTAAAGAGAAATCTTCATCCAGCTTAACCGATAAACCACCGGAATATGTTCAAAATAGTGATTCATTGAAAAAAAAAAACTTGAATGAACATGAAGTTCCGTTGGTTGGTACATCATCGAAAACTGGTGGTAACAGTAACACTATGGAAACTAATGAATCATGTAAAGATAATTCCATATCTAAATTGAATAAAACTGAGACAAATCAAATACAAACTGATACACATGGAACAGATGGATTGCACAATAGAATAATTGGTCGATCAGTTAGTACACCGAATCCTAATGATAATAATCGTACACCAAGTGGACATATTAGACGATCCACATCACTTGTTCAATATCATACTGCAACAGTATGTGCTGTTGGAGTAGCTATTGCCTTATTTATCATTGTTATGCGTCGGCTTGCAATCATGTTCCAAGAGATTTGAAAAGAAATGACATCAGGAACTAGATTTCTTGTAGTTATTTTATTACTTCACTTAGAAATGTTAATTTATGTGTGTTCAATCAATCAATCAAAGTCCCCCTATCTTATGTAACATAAACAACAAAACTCGGAAACTCCTGTTTTTGCTTTTCACTTTCTTGCCGACTTCATTTAAACTTCATCCTACATCCATTACAGTGGATGTATTCCAAAAATGACTTCTTTTCTTTACATAATTATAAAGTGTATAATGATTTTTTCTTTATGGGGGAGGGTTATTTATCTGATTGACACTTCATAATAGTGAATATTGAACAAAAGTAAACACGTAACATGTTACTTTGTTAAACAAATTAGTTACCATAGCAACTTCATACATGGAGTCATCTTTACTTTTTTTTATTTACTATGATTTGTTGAAGTTTAATTTTGAAGAATTTCATTACAACAATAATAAGTTTCTTACTTCAATTTTATGTTTATCTTTGATTTGTACAATAGTTTAACATGACTTTTTAATTAGCACTATGACCTGGTCCCTACTGCTAAACTCTTGCAGTCATCGGCCCTGGTACGGCCAAGAGTAGGGAGAGTCCGCTCTCTCGTAATGCTCCCACATATACACGCGTATATAGTCTCTGTCAGGAAAGTCCTACTCACTGTCTTCTCGCAGCATTACTGTTGTTTACGAAGTTGAGAGAACGAAAAGCAAATGTCCGGTGCTCTAACCGGGTTGGTGGATATGGAGAATCCACCTAAGGCAGTTGAAAAACCCTCATTTTAAATCAATGGTATACACGGGCTCCAGTAAATTTGTGGTGTGTGTTACTAACATCCACATAAGTAGTATATGACGATGATCAGGCAGAGTGTATTTCACTAGAAAATCGAACAGAAACATAACACGATTGGTATAAAAATGCGTAAACAATGAAATCAGAAGTGATGGACTGATATTTGCAGAATGGAACAGTCAGGATTCAGACAATTGATTGATAGCTTGCACATTAATTGTTTACTGTACGTTTGTCAGATTTTAGTGAGATATTTTGCACTGAAATACATCCGACTGTCCCCACTCGTGTTCTTGTTCACTACTCCCTGATGGAATAAATGGCACATGAACCAATTATTAGTCACCAGCTACTATGGAACTGCATCTCCTTACGTTGCTCCACTTTCTGGTGGACCAGACCTTTAGGTCAAAGGTGTGACCCCCTAAGAAAACCACCTGTTTCTGTCTGAGCACCCTGGTAGTATCACAGCCCACGCACAAATCAAGTGGGTTGTGTGACGCATATGTATTCGGCGCCCCTTTGTACCGATATTAATGTGTTCAAATAAATAAACCACACAAGTAAATTATTTAATTATGCAACTTCATTTATTATTATTTAAACACATACATATTGGTACAAAGGGGCACCAGATACATATGCGCCACACTGTGTGAGGGCTGTGATACTACCCGGGTGCCCAAACTGAAGCAAGTGGTTTTCTTAGGGGGCCACACCCAGAGCCTTTGACCTAAAGGTCTAAACCACGAGGCAGGGGAGCATCGTAAGGAGATGCAGTCCCATGGTAGCCGGTGACCAACGATTGGTTCATACGCCATTTGTTCGTTCAGGATACTGGAGCCCATGTGCACCATTGGTTTGGAATGGGGGTTTTCCAACCCCCCCCCAGGTGGACTTTCCTTGTCCACCAACCCGGTTAAAGCGCCGGACATTCGTTTTTCGTCCTCTTACTTTGGTGAACAACACCCGGGCCACGAGAAGGCAGTGAGTAAGACTTCCCCATTAGCGGCTGTATATGCGTCATCATGTGAGAGCATTTCGACAGAGAGCGGACTCTCCCCACTCTCGGTCGTACCAGGGCATTTGGGGGCAACTTCATACCATATTTCGAGAAAAAAAAATTACTTATTCATGTATTTCAACAAAAGTTTCTTATAATTTTAAATATAAGTAATATTATATTATTGAAAACAAAGACAAATTCACAACATATACAAGAAGTTGAAAACAATAACAACAACAATCATTGTCATTTACAATGTTATAGAATGAAAGAAGTGGATATTTATTGTTATTATTATTCATTACCGCCAACATCATCATCAAGACTACTGATAATTTCACCAATATTCTTTTCAACATCATCTACTCTCTTTGATAAATCATCTAGTATTGAATCAGTTAAGGAAATAATTCCATTATGAGATTATTATTACTATAAATAATGGATATTCAACAAACAAACCATTGTATGTTACTGAAATATATGTGAATATTTAATACTTGACTATAGAGAGAGGTGGCTCATTGATAGAAGTTGAACTAATGACCATCATTCCATGTTTGAACGTTACTCTATCTTATTCAGTTTGACAACCGAATATTAATACTGACCCTGAGAAATAAGGTAAAACCTGAAGTCCAGCACACGAGTCTGTATCTAACAATAGTTTAATAATTATAATATATAGCCAGGTGGAGTATAACTCACCTTAGTTTAAGTATAATTACTCATCTTAGAACCATACCTTAATAAGATGACTTACTGATACTAGTATTGGCAATGGTTGGAAGAGAGTTAGGGGCGGCCAAACCCAAACGTGGCATAAGAGCATGAAGTCGCTAACTTCCAGTCTAAGCCATGTTGACAGATGCAGACTACTTGGTTGGGGTCCGCGTGACTATCGTAACCAATGGTTGGAGACTCTAGATGACATGGCTCAAAATCGATCACAATGGCTTAGGTGTATATACTCTTTATCTTCCCTTAAACCTTGAGATTAAAATTGCTTCATAACTTTCTTCTTTTCTATACTATATCCTTATATACAACCTTTCTTTTATATACTACCACCACTAAATTAACTACTTCTATGAATCCGGTGTTCATCTTGTTGTGCTAACGAGGTATGGAAACTTGGACCGATGCCTATATGTGCCTGGTCCTACGTTGTAGCTGACTGACTGATACTCTCATTTGGAGAGTTTCTTCTCATTTTTATGAAGCAATAGAAAATTAGAGCAGGACCACCACTGGCTTTTATTCTAAGCCGTGTCTGACGTCTTAAGACATTGATTTGTACTATTTCTAGAACCGCAACCAGAGTTGTGAAGGGCTGACAGTTATCAGTTCTGTATAGTTTTTCTCAGGACAATATCATAAACTGACCATCTCTCGACTTTTTTCAGCCGGTCCTAGAGTCGGCAAATGATGCAAAGTGTGGAATTTGTTGCAACGATATTCGTAGCACATATCCAAGCTATCGAAGCCGATGTTTTAAGATGGTGAGATCATGTGAACTATCGTCACTGTACCCAAAGACCGCTGACAGTAAACGTTGTAGAAATAGATATACACAAAATGAATTCTGAATAAGAATATATTGACGATAAAGGGATTTTTGGGAACCTTCCTCACAAACCATAAATGGTTTTATAGAAAAATTACGATCCTTTACAAAATATTTATATAATAAATCTATTGTAGACCTATGGGGATGAAATTACTGGGGGATCATTGTCACCACCGTACTAATAGGAAGAAACCATACACGGAAATCGCGTTTCAGCATTTTTAATTAATTAGCTCACCCATTATTCAATGAACTACTAATAAAATGACATTATTGAGAAAACAGTTAACTAAGATTAGAACTGACTGCTTACATATTATATAAAAAATTGAGCACGTAATACGTTTAAGTGTCATTTTTACTCTGTGACAACAAAAAGAATGTCCCCTAGCAATTTTAAACTTTTCGAGCACTATACAAAGGTATTTTCTTGGAGCACTTTATGAGATGAAAGATTGAAAACGCCAAAGTACTTATTTTCTCTAAATTTTACTTTTGGTACTGCTTCAAACTTTTGGCATCACTAAAATTATTCACTCGACTCATTTACATTCTATGTTATGAACTTGCCTTCACAACGTGCAGATGTTAAGTGCAGTAATACCAGTAGATGTACACATGTACTAGATTCTGCGTTGTCTATGGTTGAATGGCAGTTAGAGAACCAATTATTTGTTATTTTCTAGTCTTCAAATACTGAACTGAATGCGCTGATTTAAAATTAGAAGCGCACACCCAGAATGCAGCTCCAAGGAGAAGTTCTTTCGGGGGATGAAACCAATAATTGTACATGTGTCTTTTTTGAAATGATGCAGTTTTATTGTTCGCTAGCTATAAAACTTAATACACTGGAGTTAAAATTCACAAAGTCATATTTATAGAAATTTTTCAATTTCCAGATAGGTTTCTGAGTAAGAAAACCATGTACAAAACCACTGGAAACCAAAGAGCAATGGATATTAGGACTGATCAATTGTCCAGTGATTAATGATTTCTGAGGCTTTTTACAACTGATATTGATCAGCGATGAAAATCACTTATAAAGTCCTCAGGTTTGAGTCACACTTCATATGAGGGCTAATAATACCATTCGACTGTCAAATGGGCTTGTAAGGCAAATATGGACTGTTTTAGTTCCTACTTCAGATCAGTATTCGAAATACCATAATATTAGAAGCAGGCTGATGGACATATGTTGATTAGATGCTTGAATTTAATCTAGTAAATCATACGTTCCGATGTTCAGTGATATTGAGCAGTATCAACAATCTGCCCTTTTACCTGACGAGTGTTTGTTACGTCAAATTATGTCTGTTATATGGTTTGAAAAGAAAACTCAGTCTTTATTGTGTGATGGTATAAGTGAATTTCTGAAACTACAGAAGTTAGTTGCACAGTTAGTGATAGTCACTAAACATTGCTATTACAATGAATGGATTTTTTTCTCTGTACAATAATAGTGCTTACTTAAAACAGGTGTAAAATTGGTTCATGATATAGGTCCTGTTTAATAATTTGCCAAACGTAACCAAGCATGATGGATGTCGAGTGGAATAATACACTGACAGGTAGTACCAGCCTCATGGAGAAAGCATATGTTGACACTGCTAAGATCGTATTATATGCTAATTAAAAACAGTTTTAACAGATAGATGTTAGAAAGTAGTTCAAATTGAAATGATTTTAGGAAAAGGATATTTTTTTCTAGGAGCTGTTCACTCATTGTATTGAATGATTCCTGGATATTCTTCAGCATAACTGAAATCTAATTTACATTAAAGCAATAATAATTTTTTTACAGATGAAGTCAAGTCCTGAATCTCTTCTGGATTTTGCTTGACATCAGCTTGATTAGTGTCAAGTGCACTTGACATTTCGCAAATAATAATGACCTTCAGATTAAAAACCCTTCAGCTCAGTCTTCAGTATTAAGGATAGTAGGTTGGTAGAACTGTGTTAATCCTGACGTTTGCCTTCCAGTGAAGGTCCAGATTCTCCTTTAAAGTGTCCACTAATGGGGTTGATATCACTTGTTCGAGTAAGGCGTTCCAGTCTTAAACTTATTGTCATCACAACACTTCAGTTACGCAGCTTCTCTTCCACAAGGCAAAACTGGAGTTTCCCAACTGCTGGGCCCTAACGGCCCGATCAATAATGACGGTGATGCCGCTAACCTTTTGGTTGAACAATACTCTCAGATATTCCAGCTGACCCACATCAACTATACTGACGAAAGCTTCACCTGTACAGGACTTTCCGAAGTGGACCTGAGTGCTGATCTAGTGTTCCGTAAACTGCAGCTTCTAAGAAAAGACACTTACCCCGGTCCGGATATGGTTCATTCTGCTGTATTGAGGGGAGCAGCTTCAATTCTGGCAACACCACTTAGCGTGATGCTTACACACTCGCTTAGCAGAGGCAAACTACCTGAAATTTGGAAGCTGGCTCACATCACACCAATTTTCAAAGGAGGTCGACGCAGTGAACCCTCAAGCTACCGACCAGTGGCCCTTCTCTCCATACCTTCCAAAATTATGGAATCCCTAATATACAACGGTATACAAGAATACTTATCATCCTTAAAGTTCTTCTCACCCCAGTAGCATGGTTTCAGAAACGGTCATTCATGTACGACCAATATGCTGACTGCGGTGGGTAGATGGACAACCATCCTTGGTCGCAAGGGGAAGGTTGACGTCATTTACCTGGATTTCTCAAAAGCTTTTGATAGGGTCAACCACGTATGTCTTATCAAGAAGCTTGGACGATTGGGTATCAAACCCCCTTTGATTAACTGGCTCACTTCATATCTAGAAAACCGACATTTTAAGGTCAGGGTTAACTTCTCTCTCTCTCAGGCTATGAAATGTCCTAGTGGGGTCCCCCAGGGCTCAATACTGGGGCCTCCTGTCTTCTTGAATTACATTAATGATCTTCCTCAACAAGTTTCATCTGCTTTATTGCTTTTTGCTGATGATGTGAAACTTTGGAGAGAGATACGTAACTATAAGGATATACTTGTACTTCAGGAGGATCTGACTCGA